TAGAGCTTTAACTTGAGTTTTTTATCTTTGAGTGATCATTGCTTGTAATCCTCTTCTTGTGCTATTAGTGAGTGATCTTGGGGGTGTGTTGATTCCTTCAAGAGTGATCTATTGAGAGGATTAGTGGGGTTTACATTGTAAAGGGGTGAGGTTTGAGAGAAATACTCATCTTGTTGTAAAAGGATTGAGTGGCTCCTTTAAGCCACCCTTGTTGTTGTTAGTGGAGAGTGTGGAGGAAATCCTTGGTGAGTGAAGCCAAGGTAGAGGACTAGGCTCCAAGTGGTTGGACCCGAACCTCTATAAATCATCGAGCAAGCTCTTCTTCTCTACTCTCTTTAATTTTGGTTTTGTGGTTGCAAAAATGGGAGAATTTTTGGAACTCCAATTCACCCCCCCTCTTGGAGTACATTGAGTCAACAGAATTTCACATAAGAAAAAAAATTTTCAATTATTATTTATATAAATTGCTAAATTTTAATTTAAAATTTATATTTAAAAAGTTAAATTATTAAATTAGGTCAATTAAAAATAAAAAAGAATGAGTAATTTTTTGGCACAAATCCCAAAGAAACAATGCAATCAACTATTTATGTTGCCAACATAATTAATTAGTAACCAATAAGCTCTTCTTCTGAGATTTTCTGTCGGGAAGCTATTTTCAGTATCTGTAATAGATTGTAACACATTATAATTGATTATGTCCCATTAACTTTGAATAATTATTTTTTCCAAGTCAAGCCAAAAGTCACTAATGAATCAGGTTTCCTTATTAATTATTTTTCTGAAAAAATCCAAACCAAACACATACTCGGGGTTTTTGATACGAAAATGATTTTCGGGCATTTGTTAATGGGCATTTATAACCAATTAGGATGGATATTACCTTCTTCACTTTCCAGATACATTCCTCAAAATTACGTCCCACAAAGTTTGCCAAAATTTAAATAGCTTAGCTTCTCTAGAAGTTATTTCTAAAGGAAGTAGGTGATCCAAATAGACAATTAATATTTTTTATGAATCAATTTGAAAGACTCTAATAACAATAACATAATTAGGTCTTATTAATTATGATTAATGTTTCTAAATTTTATTTTTGGTGGTAAAAATTTTAACAACCAAAAATGGATAATTGAATGTTAATTTTTTTTTTTTTTTGTATAGAAAAGATTAATATTTTATTAAAAAGTAAGAAGTATAAAGAGTACTCTTAACCTATTACACATATAGTTATATCTTTCTTTCAATGAAGAGCAGAAATACACGAAAAAGAGCAACCAAAGACAGACAAAGGAAAGAGAGGAGAAGATCTTTGCAAAGAACGTGGTTCAGACTTGAAACTCCTCAAGAAGCAAATGGGTCTCAGTTTTCTTGCTTCTTGTAGCTCATTTTCACTTCCATTGTCAACGGTATTGTAATTGCACCAAACCAGAAGTCCTTCTTCAGTCCGCGTCTGCCCTCCGGGATGACCTGCAAAGCCCCGAGGTGAAACTCGGGGTAGACACTCCGATACTTAAGTCAGCAATAATCGGGGTTACCTTTAGAGTGGAGATAAAAAGAGCTTAGGGTTGGTTTTAATTACCTTTTGACGTGGCTCGGGGGGGTTTTTTTTGGGTTCCATTGGGGAACCCCGTTGGCTTGCCAGGCAGGTTATTGGAGCCTGACGTGTCTATCCAGACGATTATCTGGGGACCGGGAATTTGAGAGGTATTCAGATGCACGGATGTCCACCATACTTGTTGTGCCACTCATCATAAGGAATCAGGTGCGGGCATGCTTATTGTCATTGTCATGCAACTGTTTGAGCGGGAAGCTTTGGATTTATCCTCACTTCGGTCATAAAGGAATTACTGTAGCAGTCTGAGGCTTGGCACCTCGGACCTATCCTTACACTATTCCCCCCCCGAAGTCATTCACTTATGAATGATGTTGTTGGGGATAATGAGGGGAGTGCATAAACAAAGACAATATGGGTAAGTCATGGAAGTAAGAGGAAGAAATAGAATCTATAACTCAAATGTACACATAGCCATAGCTAATAATGAAGTATGTGATAGTGAGTCATACTGGGGTGCCTTAAATAGAATATGACCAGCGCGATAATGGCCGTAGCCGTAGTAAAAGATGATGACCGGAGTCATGGTGGCCGGAGTCGTAATAAAAAGTGATCATCGGAGCCATAATGTAACCAAGGTCGTGATAAAAAATGACTGGAGTCATAGAGGCCAGGGCTGTGATAGGAAATGATGACAGGAGTCATAATGGCCGGAGCCGAGGTAGTATGTAACACGTAGCCACAGTAAGTCATTGCGGCCGTAGCCGAAGTGAAACACTATGCCAGTTAAAAAGTGTAATTGTAAAAGTAAACAGAAGTGCTGAGGTAGGCTTAAGTATAAAGACGGGAGTCATAATGGCCGGAGCAGTAATAAAATATAACGGCTGAAGTCACAATGACCGGAGCCATGATAAAATATAATGACCAGAGTCATAATGGCCGGAGCCGAAATAAAATGTGTGACACTAGGTCACTGTGACCGAAGCCGATGTGAAATGTAATGCATGATTATTGTGGCCGGAGCCGAGGTGAAACACTTGCAAAATTGAGAATGTGCAAAAGTAAATGAAGGTGTTGAAATGGGCATAGGTGGGCCTGTCTGAAAAGTCTGACAGTTGTCCTTAGAATGACGTGTGCAATAAATGCAACCGTAAAAAGATAACTGCAACAGTTAAACGGGCAAATTTTAAAAAATGAACCGTCGAATTCAAAATGGTACTGTTTGGGGTTGGCCGTCGAATTCCAAACGGTGTGGATAGGAACCGTAAGATTAAACGAATCTCAACTGTTGAGATCTAATTTTGCCCAGAAGTATAAATAGGCATTTTTTCTGCAAAAAGAGGTTTACTTGCATTTCTTTTCCTACAAAACTTCTGCGAAAAGCTTTACTATGTGTTTCTTGCGCGTGAACTATCGCAGCATTTGGGGATTTCTACAGCGGGCTTTCGAAACCGAAATCAGGTAATGTATACGAACCTCTGATTTTGAGTGAATCGAAGTGCCTCTCTCCTTTCTCCCTTTTTGTGATTGATTTAGAGTCCTTTGAAGGAAGTTAGGGTTAGAGGGGAGAAGGATTTTGAATGTGCAACAGAAGGGGTTTTTTTTTTTTTTTTAAGGGGATCCTGACTTATTCCTCCCCCTTACTTCGTGTAGAGTTTGAGAAAATGTCCTCAAAAGGAACAGTAAGTATAGTAGGGAGTGAGGTGATGCCCCTAGACTATGGGAGCATAGACTCAGAGAGTAGTCCATCTCTATCTAGTTCGGAGAAGACAGTGGAAGGGGTGAGAGGAGATGAGGTGGTGGAGGGTCAGGGGAATGAGGTGGTAGAGGTTGGGGGGAATAGCATACCCATCACTGTAGTAGAAGTAGAGGGTAGATGAGAGAGAGATTATGATGTGAATGTAGAGATAGTGGAGGAGGTGAAGCAGTATAGATCTGAACTAAGGACCAAGGATAGCTTGGGTCACTTAATGGAAAATTACAAGATCTCTTCCCGAGTGTTAGTTAGGCCAGCCGAGGTAGAGGAGAGAGCGTGTTCTGCTCCTCGGGATCATTGGATGCCCGTATATTCCCACTATCTGATAGCGGGGTTGAGGTTTCCAATTCCTGAGTTGCTAGTAGGTTTGTTGTTAGATTATAATATAGGGTTGACACAATTAGTCCCCAACGCTATGAGGGTAATAATAGGATTTTTAGTCTATTACCGAGCTCAGGGGATTAATGTGCCAACCGTAAATATGTTTAAGTATTTTTTTGTTTTAAAGGGGGGTAGTATGAGGGATAAGGGGTGGTATTATTTCACCCCTAGGGTAGCTAGTAAGGAGAGTAGGTCTTTATTCACTACGGGTCCTTCATCCATTAAAGGATGGAAGGAAAAATTCTTTTTTGTAGATGATACGGAGTGGGAGAGGGGGGATGCCGAGGTGAGGGAGTTAGCATCTTGGAAGGCTAAAAGAGCCAACTAGAATAAGTTTAGTTTAAACAAGGATAAGGAGGAAGAAGTGAGGAAGTTGGTGAGGAAGTTAGTGAGGAAAGGGGGGGATTTATTGAACATTTTGGACCTCACCAGTGCACAATGCATAGAAGTTGCTGAGCTCTATGGGCCAAGCGCTTTAAGTGAAGGTTGGTTTAATTCTGCATTGTAGTACTGAATGTAGAGTATAGAACTATGATTAATATTGTGTGTTCTTGCTTTGCAGCTGAAATGGATCAGTTTTTGAACACTGCTGGAGGAGTGGCTATCCCCAAGAAGCCAAGGAAGAAGTCAAAGACTTCAACCAAGCAAGTGGAAGAGGTGAGGGCTAGGAAAGAGGTAGTGCCCGCGACTTCAGCTGAGACAAGGGAGGAGGTGCCGCAGTTGAAGAGGAAGGGTTGGGAGGAGAGGATGGCACTGCAGAAGAAGAAGAAGGTGGTGGTGGAGGAGGAGGAGAGGGGGAATGAGGTACCTCAGTTCATACCTCAGCCTCCTCCTGTTAAGCTAGACCCTGAGCTCAGACAGTTGGAGGAGGGGGCTGAGGTACGAGCTCCCAGTAAGGGAAAGGGCCCTGTTCCCCTAATGGCGTTCCAAAGCAGCCTATTCGAGGCGAAGAACATGACGGGGGCTAGGTGGTTCATCAACTCCACCTTCCCCAAAGTGGACAAATGCAATGCGCGGGATGAGGCTCTGAGGTATTGTGGGGCTTCAGTGGTGAAGCACGTTTTAGAGGTATATTGAGTTATTGGTGTTGTTTGTTTAATCTCTTCCTTTTTCTCTTCTAGTTCTCTTAACTTCTACGTTGATTTGCAGAGCGCGAGCTGGGTGAATGGTCTAGCCCAGGAGTTTATGGATAGCGTGAAAGAGTGCTCGCTCTTGCAGAGGCAGTTTGACTAGCTGCAGAAGGAGAAGGAGGAGTTGGAGAAGAAGAATAAAGAACTGCAAGAGTCGCTAAACGAGGTGGTTCCAACTGTGAAATAATTGGAGCAAAAGAGGGCTTCCCTGAGCACCAAGCTCGTCTTTGAGGAGAGTAAACGAAGGATCTCTGAAAGCGAGCGTGAGGCTCAGGCGCAAGAAATAAAACTAATGAAGGAGGCTTTCTTGAAGCTGAAGGAGAATGTGCAAACCTTGGTGCACAATGGGATGAAGGAGCACATCAGCAACTTTATCAGCTCCAACTCGTTTGACAACATCGTCAACTTGTACCGGCTGCCCACTGCCATCATTGCATTCACAAACTGTAGGAAGAAGGTGAAGGCAGAATATCCCAAAGTGGATATTACAAAGATCACCTTCGGCGAGCAAGAAGAAGGAGTGGAGGAAGACAGTGAGAGCATGTCAGCAGACTTCCATCCTTAAATCAAACTAAGGTGGGAGCATGATGCAAATGGACGTGCTGTTTTCCCTCCACAGTTCGACTTCGAGTTCGTTGCAGTGGAGGAAGAAGGGGCAGAGGTAGAGGAAGACGAGGTGGAGGCAGGAGTAGAGGGAGCTGAAGTAGATGATAGCCAACCAGTTCCAGAAGTGGAGATTCATTCAATTCCTTCCGACGATGAGCAGCCTCCTCTGCCAGACGAGTAGCAGCCAACACAACCACCTCCTCCAGCTGAGCAGGAGCCAGTGGAGCCACCTCTCTCAGCAGAGAAATAATTTTGTTTTTTAATTTTTTGTAGAAACATTAAACAATTTACATGTAATACTGTTATTACGTTAAATGAAAATTTAGTTTTGAAATTATATATTTGTTTATGTTTGCTTTATATTTTTATTATTTTTTGTGAATAAAAGAACTGAGAGTACTTGAGACATGATTTGAAAGAAAGCGTACCACTTCAAGGATGAACCAAAGGGAAGTAAGTCACTTCAGAGGAATTAAGAAGAAGTAAGTCACTTCATATAAATTAGGAACAAGTACATCATTGCGAACGAATCAAAAGAAAATAAAGTACTTCATATGTGAAGTGACATTTATTAATCAGAAGTGAGGTTTAAGGACTGATTGACCTCGGATACATAGAATAATAGGTAAAATGAATCTCAACAATCATGAAGTAAGAACTGTAAGACAGATTTCTTGAAAGGATTTTATTAGGGGTAAAATTTCTTTAAGTTATTGACATTCCAGACTCTAGGAACTCTCTTTCCTTCAGTGTCTTAGAGGACATAGGCACCAAGATGTGGCACCTCGGCCACGGTATAAGGACCTTCCCAATTTAGAGCGAGTTTGCAAAATGAGTTTCAAACCTTGTTAGGCCAGCTTTTCTGAGAACAAGGTCTCCTACTTTGAAAATTCGAGGGCGGACTCGTTTATTGTAGAAGTTGGCTAGTTTATGCTTGTATACAAGAGTTCGAAGCCGAGCTTTTTCTCTAACTTCAGCAAGCAGATCAAGGTTTTCCCGAAGCAGTTGTCCATTTCGTCCTTCATCGAAATGGGTGACCCGGAAGCTTGGGACTCCTATTTCAACAGGAATGACTGCTTCGGTACCAAAAGCCAAGTGGTAGGGTTTTTCACCTATTTTAGTTAATTATAACTTTAGAATGCGCTTTATGGATTATGCATTTTTGCTCTAAGGTAAAGCGTAACAGAAGAAGTAAAATAATATAGGAATTATTCAAATAGACTCGGTTTAAAGTAATACCTGTGGCAGTTCGGCTCGTGGTTCTGTATGCCCAAAGGACATTGTTGAGCTCATCTGCTCATTTGGCCTTATGCTGTTCCAATCTCGACTTTATACCTTCTAAAATGCATTTGTTAATAGATTCAACCATGCCATTGGACTCCAGATGGTAAACAGAGGTGAACTGTAACTTGATCCCATAATTGGAACAGAAATCTCGGAATGAGGAGCAATTGAACTGAGTTCCATTATCAGCCACAATTTGATTTGGGATCCCATATCTGCGGATGATCGAGCTGAAAACAAAGTATTCGACCTTCTTGGAGGTAAGACTAGATAAAGGTCGAGCTTCAACCCACTTTGTGAAATAATCCACACCAACAACCAGATGGGTTACACCACTAACCCCTTTCAAGAATGGGCCTAAAAGATCCAATCCCCACTGAGCAAATGGCCACAGTGCTACCAAGTTCGTGAGCTCTTTTGTTGGTTGGTGAGTCAGATGTGCGAAGAATTGACATTTCGGGCATTTTTGAACAAAGTAAGTGGCATCTTTGTGCATGTTTGGCCAGTAATATCCTTGCCTTAAGACTTTGTGAGCCAGGGTCCTAGCACCAACATGGCTCCCGCAGACACCTTCATGCACCTCTCGAAGTGCATATTCAGCTTCGTAGGGGTTTAAACACCGTAGAAGAGGAAGTGAGAAAGATCTCTTATACAGGACCCCATCAACGAGTGTATACCGGGATGCTTTCTTCCTCAACTTCATTCCCTCCTGCCTGTCCTCAGGTACTATCTCATCTCGCAAAAAGGAGGTGATTGAATTAGTCCAGCTCGGCGTGTCGGGATTTGTGCTAATCTCCATCATCTGAGGCTTCATGAAGCTTGGTTCATCTAAGACCTCTACAAAAACGGATCTGGAACTTAAAGAGCTATCAGAAGCAAACTTAGAGAGTGAATCTACCTGTTCATTCTCAGGTCGAGGAATTTTGCTCAGACAGAATTTCTGGAATTTGCATTTCAGCTCGGCCACCAAGGCTACATATTTCACCATCATAGGATCAACGACTTCACATATTGAGTTGATTTGGTTCACTACCGACTGGGAGTTACTGTATACTTGAATTGCACTGATTTTCAACTCCAATGCTAGCTGTAGGCCAAGTAGCAGAGCTTCATATTCAGCGATGTTATTTGTTGCATCAAATTTGAATTTCAAAGCATGCTCGCTTCGATAACCCTCTGGACCAATCAAGATTGCGCCAACTCCTGAACCCTTGCTACTAGATGCCCCTTCAACATACAAGGTCCAATCGTTGGGCTCTGGATTAGGGGTTAAAGGACATGGGGTACATTCAACAATAAAATCTACTAGCGCTTGAGCTCAGATTGCCGATCTCTGCTAAAATGTTATCTCAAACTCCCCCTGCTTTACTGCCCATTTAATTAATCTTCTAGAGCACTCTAGTTTCTGTAGGATCTGTCGGAGAGGTTGATTTGTGAGGACAATAATTGGGTGTGACTGAAAATATGGCCTCAACTTCCTGGCCGAGGTGACAACTGCTAATGCTGCTTTCTCAGCTATAGGATACCTCAGCTCTGCTCCGTGCAGTACACTACTGATATAATAGATTGGTTTCTGCTGCTTGGTTTCTTCTCGCACCAGAACTGAACTAATGGCTTCATCTGAAATTCCCAGATACAAATAAAGAATCTTCCCATCTATAGCCTTAGTCAGTAGAGGTGGCGAGCTAAGATAAGACTTCAGCTCGACGAATGCAGTTTGGCATTCCTGACTCCATTCAAATTCCTTTTGTTTTCCTAATTCATCCTTCTGGGCGACTGACCTCATAATCTTGAAGAATGGCAGGCACTTATCTGCTGAATTCAATATGAACCGATGAAGAGCTGCCACCCTTCCCGTCAACCTCTGTATATCTTTTACTGATTTCGACGGTTCCATCTCGGCAATTGCTCTGATCTTCTCTGGATTGACCTCAATCCCTCTTCGAGATACCATGAAACCTAGAAACTTTCCAGACTCCACTCCGAAGATGCATTTGGTTGGGTTTAACCACATCTTGTTCTTTTTGAGGTTGTTGAAGGTTTCGTCGAGGTCAGCTAGATGGTTTTCTGCTTTCAGGCTCTTTACCACAATGTCATCGACATAAACCTCTAGATTCCTACCGATCTGAGCTCGGAAGACAATGGTTACCATTTTCTGATAAGTAGCACCAGCGTTCTTTAAGCCAAACGGCATCATGACATAGCAATAGATTTCATCGCCAGCATAGAACGAGGTTTTCTCTTCGTCTTCGAAAGCCATCGGCACCTGGTGATACCCAAAATATGCATCCAAGAGGTTTAACCTCTCATTACCTGAAGCTACTTCAACTAATTTGTCAATGCTCGGCATCAAATAGCAATCCTTCAGGTAGGCTTTGTTAAGATTTGTGTAATCAATGCACATTTGCCATTTACCGTTTGCCTTCTTCACCAGGACTGGGTTAGCCACCCATTCGTAGTAATCAACTTTCCTAACGAAACCAGCTTGTAGAAGTTTCTCTACCTCTTCTTTAATAGCTTAAAGCCTCTCCCCCCCAAAGAGACGTCGCTTCTGGGCCACTGGTTTCTTCAATGGATTGGTGCTGAGCTTGTGTTGAGATACTAAATTTGGAATTCCTGGCATATCTGCCGAAGTCCATGCGAATACATCATTGTTAGCTCGGAGAAAAGCTATTAGCTTTGCTCTTACCTCTGGGTTCAATCTAGTTCCGATCTACGTCTTCCGGCTCGGATCTCTGTCATCAATGAGCACTTCTTCAACATTTTCAACCGGAGCAGCTCTGGTTTCATCTTCCGGTCGATTATCTACGATCTCTACACCCATAACTTGTTGATTATCAGGAATTCGTTGGGGAATGGCCTCAGGTGTCTGATCTTTGCCCTTCATTGGTTGTGTTACCGAGGTGATATAACAATGTCTGGCCACCTCCTGGTTTCCTCGCAGTGTTGCTATTCCCATATGAGTTGAGAACTTCATGCAAAGGTGAGATTGGGAAACCACAGCTCGGATTTCAGTCAATGTGGGTCAGCCAATAACAATGTTGAAAGAGGACGCCATCTTGACGACAAGGAACCGGACTGAAGGGGTTACATAGGTCCGGTCACTCCCAAAAGCCACATGGAGGGTAAGAACTCCTTCTACCGGAACAGGTTAGTTGTTAAAACCATAGATGGGACCATCATATTTCTGCAACAATGCCGAATCCAGCCCAAGACTCTCGAAACAATGGAAGTACATGATGTCTGGTGCACTCCCGGTGTCAACAAGGACACGTTGTACTTCACAGTTGTTAATCATGACAGAAGTGACCAAGGGATCATTGTGGGGTGTAACAACTGTATCAAGATCAGCATATGTGAAAGTAATGGGTTTATTCTTCCACTCAACATCGTCAAACTTCCGTTTCTGAGCTCTGTTCTCATGCTTAACCTTTCTGACATACAGCTTTCGCTGTTTAGAGCTCAGTCCACCTACTTCCAGACCTCCCGTGATCATGTATATGATTCTAGCTGGTGGTGGGAACGGAGGTGGGTTTTGCTGATATCCCACACCTTGTCTGTTTGATGGGTTACGAGTTCCTTGAGGCTGTGGCCCTTGTTCTCTGAAAAATCATGGCTGTGCAGCTCTCTGAACATACTCATTCAGCATTCCCTTCTGAGCTAGACTTTCCAGTTCGAACTTTAAGCTGTTACACTGCTTTGTAGTATAGCTGTGCTCCTAGTGAAAATCACAATATATAGTATGGTCTCGGCTAGCAGCAACGGTTTTCATTGGGCCAGGACGCCTTAAATCCATTTTATTCTTGATCTGCATAAAAATTTGTGACATTGGCAGATTAAAGGGAGTTCAATTAACTGGAGGTTTACCTGCAGATTGTTGCGGGGGTGTTGAGTTCGGCCTTCCGAATCTCGATGTAGAGGTCGGCATCGGACCTCGGTTCTGCGCCATCCTCATTCTTTTCCGGCTCAAATTGTCATCTCTCCATTCTGGGTTTTGGTTCTTAGAAGGAGTCGGATTCTGCGCCAGGGAATACTCCTCAACGGTTATAAATTTCAAAGACCTATCATTCACCTCGCTAAAGGTGATGGCAGCATGTTTGATCAAACTGTCTCTGAACCTTTCATGTTTAAGACCGGAGATCACAGCTGCAATCCCCACAGCTTGATCAAAGGAACTAACCTCCAATACTGCATCATTGAACCTACTCATATAGTTTTCCAGAGATTCTCCATCCCTCTGTTTAACTCGCATCAGCTCAGAAGTAGTTTTCCTAATCAACCTTCTACTGGAAAACTTAGTGGCAAAGGCAGATGTCATTTCTATATAAGAGCTAATTGGCCTCGGAGGTAAACTATAATACCAAGTTCAAGCATTACCTCGGAGAGTAGAGGGGAAGATTTTGCACATCAACGCGTCAAAGGCGTTCTGAGCTTGCAAGCAAGAGTAGAAAGCATGTAAATGATCATCAAGATCCTTTGTCCGGTCGTAAGTCTCCAGTTGTGCTATTTTGAAGCCAGCAGGATAGGGTTCCAGTGTAATGTTGGTGTTCAGGGGGTGAGGTATGGAGTCAGCAGCATGGTGTGGGGGTATAGCACCTCGGTGTTCAGCTACTAGCTTTTCTAAGCTATCAAGGCGTCGAGTAACATCATCAGGGAGGGGTTGTTGAGCGGGTGCTATGTGGGATTGACCCTGAGATTCACTAATAGTGGGAGCATGCTGAACTGGTTGAGGATTCTGTTGTGGAGCTGGGGGTTGTTGATCAGGGTTCAGTAAATTAATGAAGGGATCACCAAGATTATTTCTAGCTAAAAGCTAAGCCAGTACCAACTAAAAAATACCAAACTGTTGTTGCATGGCAGCAAGCTGAGCAGCCACTACGTCTTGGTTGGCAGTGGAAGTTGAATTGTGAGCTGAGGTATGAGGTTGGTTTTCATCTCCTCCTTCTGCATGATCAACATAAAGGAACATAGTTGGGACCTGAGGTGGAAGCTGAGGTGTAAGTTGAGGTGGGATCAGAGGTGGAAGGTTGTTGGGGGGTTGGCCTTGCCCATGAGGCAGAGATGAATTACCAACTCGGACTGATCGAGTGTGAACAATGATGAAAAAGCAACTAGAAAGCTTTTAGTTCGGATTCCCACAGATGGCGCCAATGTAATTGCACCAAACCAGAAGTCCTTCTTCAGTCCGCGTTTGCCCTCCAGGATGACCTGCAAAGCCCCGAGGTGAAACTCGAGGTAGACACTCCGATACTTAAGTCAGCAATAATCGGGGCTACCTTTAGAGCGGAGATAAAAAGAGCTTAGGGTTGGTTTCAATTACCTTTTGACGTGGCTGAGGAGGGGTATTTATAGGATCCAATGAGGAAACCACGTGGCATGCCAAGCAAGATAATCGGAGCCTGACATGTCTATCCAGACGATTATCCCGGGACCGGGAATTTGAGAGGTATTCAGATGCACGGATGTCCACCATACCTGCTGTGCCACTCATCATAAGGAATCAGGTGCGGGCATGCTTATTGTCGTTGTCATGCAGCTATTTGAGCGGGAAGCTTTGGATTTATCCCTCACTTCGGTCATAAAGGAATTACTATAGCAGTCCGAGGCTTGGCACCTCAGACCTGTCCTTACAGGTATGCATCCTCTGTTTCTTCATCTTTATCAAGCTTCGATACAAACTTCGTTATAGCTTCACATTTTTGGATCATGCTTTGTTTTACTTTTGCCAAGATTATGCTTTTTTCAATGGTGTTTCGATTAAAGAAAGAAAAAATTGTTCTTTGGGTAAGAATCTAGCAAGGAAGAAGGATAAGTTTCTAGTTTAATTGGATCAGAAGGATTAGGGATTTTTTCTTTTGACCTGTGAAAGACTTGGGATTTAATCCCTAAATTGAATGTTAAAATTAAAAATTGAAACCAACTTGTTTAGTGAGAATTTTCAAAACTTAAAATCAAATGTCAAAATTTGTTTAATTTCTTAAATAAGTTTATTTTCAATCTAAATTATTAAATTTTTAACGATCAAAACTAAAACGTAAAAACAGTTATACTAAATGCAATCTTACTTTTTTATATTAGCATTATTTCAGTAAAAACCTCAGGGTTGAATCTACAAGTAAACATATATCTCTTGTCGTTGAAAAACTAAAAAAAAAA